ATTTTTTTTACTTCCAATTCATAAACTAGTAGTTAGAGGAGTCAATTTATTTTCCGTTCACTGCAGCAACATTTAAGTTCTGAAGCTAATCTTTTTTTCTTTTTTTTTGCGGTACACGGGCCTCTCACTGTTGTGACCTCTCCCGTTGCGGAGCACAGGCTCCGGACGAGCAGGCTCAGCGGCCATGGCTCACGGGCCCAGCTGCTCCGCAGCATGCGGGATCCTCCCGGACCGGGGCACGAACCCGCGCCCCCCGCACCGGCAGGCGGACTCTCAACCGCTGCGCCACCAGGGAAGCCCCCGAAGCTAATCTTTTTAATGTTAGTGTTTATGCTACCTTGCTTTTTGTTCAGATATCCGAAAAGCACACAGTTTTCCTTAAATACATTAAATTTGCATATTGTAAGCTATTCTCTTTTTTGCCATTAAGAAAGGATTTTTTTCCCTGTTGAGCGCTTTGGTCATTTTGATTTTTTCTCTGTTAATATTGAAACTGCAAGGAATTCATGCCCAAGCCTTGTTCACTTGGGATGCAGGCTTACAGATAAGCCTTATAGTAGAAGGTGTCATTTTAAGCCTCTTTCCATGTAACATACTAACAAAAAGAAGGCTTTGCTAAGAAAATGTCATTTGTTAATAACTTAGTATATGTATTATAACTGTATCAGTGCTTACCTGGGTTCTGTATATTGTAGATAGTATAAGGGTACGTGTTTAAGGATTTTTATCATCTGTTCCCTAGAATATATTCTTCTTGGAAACGGGATTATTTTCATTAAACCACACCATTGAAGGGGATTTTTAGATTTCCCAGTGTCATAATCTTTTCGAGGCTTAAAAAAAGTCTTTTTTTTCTTTCATCTTATCTACATAGTGGCCTCTCTTTGGCACCTCTGTGAACTACCCTTTCCTGCCTTTTCCATTTTTTTTTGTTCTCGATAAGGAAAACTCTTTTCTTAATGGACTGTTGCTTTGCATACATCAGGGATTTCAGCTGTTAGATTGTGTGAAAAATGAAGCAGGAGACATCAGATGGTGTGATGACTAGAACTGTTAACACAGTAAATACCAGGAAGGCTGGAAGTGTGAGCTAAAGCAGCTGGGGGGTGGGGGGCTGGGTGGAAAAAATGAGAGACACAGCTGGGAGAACCAGCAAGAAAAAATGGCCAGAAAACATGGGGGAGCTTAGCGAGAGAAGTGCAGCCCGAGGGAAAGAAGAATGCAAGAGAAGGAAGTGTCATAAGTTATGTTTTCCAATACTGCACAGTATACCTTAGCCCATATACATTGTCCTTAGCTACTCCTTTCATTGCTGTACCATTATGCATATTTAGTATGTAGTTTTCTTGGACGATTACTGTCAAAGGCTGAATATTGAAATTTTAATGGAAGTATATGTCTTTGCTTTGAGGTTGATCTCTGTTATACTGACAATTTATGAAACCCATCATAGAATTCAGAAGGATTAATAACAAATAGCATATACTTGTTTAGAGATATATTTGATTTTTTTTAACCAGAGGGTATCACATTGCTAACATTTAACATTTGGACAAATAGGGGGTGTGTATAATGAGCTCGATTAATAACTGGTTTGGTAAGTATATCCAGAGGGAACTGATTAATAAATGGCTTTCTTCCTGGAAAAAGGTTTCTGGTATTTGAACCTAATCCTATTCTAGTCAACATGAGGACTCATTTGGGTAAAACACTATAAATGCGTGGCTGCAAACTGGGAGAGGTGGCTAGTGTAACAACAAATGAAGGAAACAGAATTCGATAACAACTTGACATTTAATGCAATGACCCACATCTAAGACGCAGACATGGAACGGGGATGACAAGAGCATCTCAGCACCACCACCAATTAAATCGCAAAAAGGTAGTAAAGAGAGATGTGGCTTAGCAGCATCGTAGATGAAACAAATTTAGATTTTGTGTGAATCAAGTAAAAGATTCATAGATGCCCACAGTATAATGTAGCTGGTGAGAAAAGCTTCGGTGATCGTAGGCTTTCTAAATAAAAGTGTAGCATCTGAACTGACTCAAGGACGAGCTCCTCTTCCCGGATGCAGTGTTACTTCATCTGGAGAACTGCCTTCGAGCTTAGTCATTTAGAAGAGAACACCAGCAAATGAAAGTGTCAGCCGCCAGCATGTCTCCTCCTACCTTCCCTGTTTCCTCCCCCACTTGGTCCTCTTGCGTGCACTGTCTCGCCCTCCCCAGATCTGAATTCAGTTCTCACTAAAGCAGGAAATACTAAGATGTTTAATCCTTAAACTCGCAGTGCTGCAGGGCATACCACTCGTCATGTTCTCTCTGTGCCTCGCCCATAATCATCTTGCTCAATGCTTGTCTGAGTGTGTTTGTTGAATTTTGATCTCCCATGCTGAGAATGGTATTGCCCTGAGACTCACTCCTTGACCTTCCAAGTTTCAGCTCTTTGTCTTCCTGTGTATTACGTGTCTGGGACTCAGTGTCTACTTTGGGTACCACGGTCTATCTCAGTCTCACCAGGAGGTCTTCTAGAGAAGTGTGCCTCTTACCCAAGGATCCTGCCCCGTGGCCAGATTCTGTAGCTGTGACTGGACCTCCAGGACAATAGTGGACCACCTTCCTGACTTGCCCAGCTTTTTGCTCCCTGCTGATAGTTCTGCCCTCCCTATGATAGCTGGGCCCTGAGAATTCCCGTACCAACCATCACCAAAACCCAGATAAGGACTATTTGCTAAATCAGATCAAGGTTGCCTTGTCCATTGGATGTTGTGTTTGGTCCCTAGATTGGGCTTTGGAGCTGGATTGGGCTCTCAGCATGCTCTGCTCTCATGAGCAGGCCTGGCCAGGACTCAGCTCCCTTCTCCATATAGCCTTTGTGCTCTTTTGAGTCATAGTAGGTGGTACTCAAAACTATACTCTTTGAAATGGAGAAGGGGACACTAAAAGGCAGCAGAAGAGGGACCTCTTTAAACACGTATCTTCAGGTATTTCAAAGGTTGCCATATAGGGAAAGTACTGGACTTGTTCTGCATAGCCCTGGATATCAGAACCAGGACGCCAACTAAGGTTGCAGCCACTAAGCCTTCCTTACTGCTAGCTCAAACCTAGCAGTGCTTCCAAGAGGTAGAAGGGGATTCCTTCTGGAAGCCTTTCCTTATGGGAGGGAATCTGGCATAGGCTGGAATAGCAGGTCTAAGTTTCGTTTATTGGTTTATTTCCACTACAGCGTGGATAAGGATAGTATTTACTTGGCTGGCATTTGCACACATGATATATTGCCATGGTAATATGTCTATCATGAGCGACCTGCAGTCCTACTCCTTTCTCTGTCTTCAGGGACTGCAACTGAGAGTGGCTTTATTGTAGCAATATCCTCGAGTCTGCTCTGATTTTTTGAAAGTTACTCAATCAGCGAATAAATATTGAGTGATTATTATATCTTAGGCACTGTGATTCATTCATCGCTCAGTACTTTTAACTGCTACATTTAGCCAAGTATTTTTGACATTGCACTCATGAACTGGATGTTACAGACATTGTAGAAAGGGTTCAAGTATCAAGTGATGTTGATTTATAGCTCACCTTTAAATTTCTTTTAAATTTAAGAATTACTCATTGAGCTCCTTGAGTCTAGTCTCCTACTGAGTAGATGTCTAGCCTCTCAAACATGAATTTGGATTCATGTTTCTGAAGTCTGTGCTACCAGATCCCAGTATTTATCTACACAGATAGCAGGGAGGTTTGCTGTCAATGTCATCACTACTTCCTTAGGAGGGACTGTAGGGCATAGTTTTGAAGAAATGCTCCTCCCCCTAAACTTCCCCTCAGCAATGGCAGGTGGGGCTTGGGCCCATGCCATCTGTCAGGTGCATAGTCTCAGTGGCCCAGAAATAGAATTCTATTTCAGATCCTCTGAGAGGCTTTAGCCAGCACAAGCTTCAGGTTAGTAGGCAAGAAGCATCATGAATTACTGGAGTTTGTTTGTTGGAGCCTCTTATGAATGACATCATCCATGTTAAGAAGCTGGTAAGAGTCCTCGTGAGAACTGTCAGTGAAATGGGTATAGAAGAAGCAGTGCTAAGATTGGCCTTCTGCTGACTTAGTGTATGCAGGGTAGGGGGCCAGTCATATTTGATTAGATACCTGGTTTCAGAAGTCCAAACTTCCATTCAGTGGGAAAAGAAATCAGCATTGAAAGCATACGATTGCTATTTGATTGGATCAGTCATTGTTTGCAGTAATTAACTGCTGTCCACACTCAGAGATAGTCATGAGGATGAGAGAGGACCTGAAGGAATATTGGTCCATGCAGAATTACACTCAGGTTGTCTCAGTCAGACTATGATAGTTTTCAGTGGAGCCAGGAGACTCTTCCTCAGTACAGCGACTCCAGTGATTCCAGCTACAATTATACTTGGGGTTGCCGTATTTATTTCAGATTGATCTAGAAAATGACTGACATTGTAATGTGTAATGTCCACATTCCTTAGAATATTGTTTTGGTAACACCTTTATTGGGATATAATTCACATCCTACTTAAAGTGTGCAATTTAATGGTTTTTAGTATATTCACAGAGCTGTGCCACTATCACCACAATCAATTTTAGAACATTCGAGTTACCTCAAAGAGGAACCACATAACTCTTAGCTATCATCCGCATGACGATCATTCCCCAGCCCTAAGCAACCTATATATTTGCCTATTTTGGACATTTCATGTAAATGGAATCAGATAATACGTGGGGTTTTTTTGTGACTGACATTCCACATAGCATGTTTTCAAAGTTCGGCTGTGTCTTAGCATGTGTCGGTACTTCATTTCATTTTATGGTCAAACAATATTCTTTCATATGGATATACTATATTGTGTTTATTCATTCACCAGTTTATGGGCATTGCTACTGTTTCCATTCTGGGGCTATTATGGATAATGCTGCTGTGAACATCCACATACACGTTTTGTGTGGACTTAACGTTTTCATTTCTCTTGGTATATACCTAGGAGTGGAATTACTGGGTAAAATCACTCGATGTTTCACTTTTTGAGGAACAACCAGGCTGTTTTCAAAGTGGCTGTACCATTTTACATCCCCATCAGCCAGGTATGAGTGTTCTGATTTCTCCACATCCTCGCCAACACTTGCTACTATCTTAGATTTGTCAATTATAGTCATCCTAGTGGGTATGAAGTGATATCTCATTGTGGTTTTGATTTGCATTTCCTTGATGAGGCATCTTTTCATGTGCTTATTTGGCAAAATGTCTATTCAAATCTTTTGCCTGTGTTTGGTTGCGTTGTCTTTCCATTATTGAGTTATAAGAGTTCTTTGCATATTCTAGATAAAAGTCCTGTATCAGATATGATTTACACCTATATTTTTTCATTCCTTGGGTTGTCTTTTCACCTTCTTGATAGTATCCTTTAAAACATAAAAATGTTTTTAATTTTGATGAAACTTAAATTACGTATTTTTCTTTTGTTACTTGTGCTTTTGGAAGTATTACATCGAAAACACCAGTGCCAAATCTGAACTTACGAAGATTTACCCCTATGTCTTCTTCTAATAGTTTTGTAGTTTTAGTTCTTAAATTTAGGCATTTGATTCATTTTTGAGTTAACTTTTTTATACAGTCTGAGCTGAGGCTCCAACTCCATTCTTTGGTTATCAGTTGCCCCATAATCTTTTGCTGAAAAGACTATTCTTTCCCCATTGAATAGTCTTGGCACCTTTGTCAAAAAATCAATTGGCCATAGATACATGGGTTTATTTTTGGGTGCTGAATTCTGTTCCACTGATCTAGATGTCTACCCTATGCCGGTACCACACTGTCTTGATTACCTTGTTTCCTTGGAATAAAAACATAACTCGCGAAATTCATGTTCTGAAAATGCAAAATTATGCACCACTTTTATGTTATTAAATTAGCTGTCAAATAATATGTTCAGTTTTAAAATCAGACTCTTTACTCCTGTCTAGTAATACAGATAGTATGTGCAAACATTATTTCCCATACATATTAATAAGATTTGGCATTTTAAGAAAAATGTTTATTATTTTCATTTTATTTTTTTACTGTAGCAATTTGCTTTAGATAATAAATCTTTCTCACATCTCTAACGAATTCAAGAGAGTTCTCTGGGATTGACAGTGATAACATGGGGAAGTGGAGAGGTTTGGAATCCACATCTAAACATATCTGTATGGCAGGAGTTCAGGAGGAGGTTTGATTTGAAATCTAATGAAAGACAGAAAGATGGCTTGAGAAGGGCTCTTGTCTGTCAAGCCCTTCACCCAGAGAAGCCCTGCTCTCTTAGTTTGCATGACTGACAAAGACTTGGAGTTGAGTTGGAGAAAGACTGCCCGTGACTATGTGTCTTGTTCTAATCTTTTTAGACTTACTTTTTAAAAAGAAAATAATAATGTCGCTGAATGCAGTGGCAAACAAAGGCGGCCATGTCTCACTTGGTAACTGTCAGGGAAACAATTGATGTACCTACAGATAATATAAATAATCTGCTGATTCTGCTATGGAAGAAAGCAACACTCAGTCTAAGAGATCATACGTGGTCCTAATAAAAGAACATCACTAGATGCAAATCTAGAAGGCTGGTGTTCTATTCAGTTTTTTATATTGTAAATCAGGAATTAAAATCTCAGTCTGTAAAATACTGCGTGGTTCTGAATCTTAGACAACATCCAGGATATTCTCCTTGTAGATTCATTTATTTATTCATTTCATCCTTCTGCCCTTCTCCCTTCGTCACTGTACTTTTCATGGTATCTTATGTACAAGAGAGGTTCAGTACAGGAGATGTAGATTAGAGGATGGGAAGAGAATTGGAGAGGAGAGGGGGATGGAGAAAAGGCAGGGCACCAGACACAGAGCAGAAAAACAGATGGGAGATCAACTGAAGTCATTCCTGTGGTCTCCTCTATTCCCGCACACCTTCCCCATTTCCACAGTGGAACGGATGAAGGAACCACTCAGGATTAGATCGGTGTGCCATTCGGGCCACACTGTTCACGCTGCATCAACGATACTGTTGTTCGTAAGACATTTTCACAATGAAATCACAGCTTACCTTACCTCGAAGCATACTCCTCTCAAATAAATCACTTGTTTTATTCTCAAATTCAGACAACAGTTATTTGGATTTCAGTATCACTACAATAACACATAGATTTCTTTGTCCTAAAACTAGGAAAAATAGGGAAAGAGCAAGTAAATTGATGTGTATTTGATTAGACATTGACTTGGCTGCTATTTCGGAGAAATTTTTTTATTCATCCACTACTATGTGTAGTTTTTCCTCTACTTTGTAGTTTGCTTTGTTCAGTGTTTGGCATAAATGTGCCAGCATTTTTACAGTGAACTGGACCAGTATCTGTCACAGTCTCTATCCATCTGTCTTTTTTTTTTTTTTTTTCCCCCTAACTTTTTTTCTCTTTGGTTATAGGCCAAGAAGGAAGGGAGAACATTCACCACCACAACGTCTCAAAGGGAATACATTGCCAGCATTTTGAATACTTATTTGGACAAACCTTTCTTCAAGGTAAATATTACCATTGTACCAGTGATCATTAGAATTTGCAGATCGCAGCGGTAGTGCACAAAGGCTTAATTGTTTAGTCTGGTACAAACCTAGAGTGATAGGAGAGAAAGAAGGAGAGGGAGCCGGAGGGAAGAAAATAGCGCTGTTGGGATATCCTGCAGTCTCTTCTAAATGTGTTACCAGGAGAATGCCGTCAGAATCTGGGAGCCCACTGAGCTGGACTCAAAATGTGTGGGAAAAAGGGGAGAAAGGGGAATCTGTATTTTTTTCTTCGTGTCAGTGTCTCTCAGATATTCATGAAAACAAAAAGCAGTGTGGTCTAATTGTAAAAATAGCATTTCTTCTTTTATGAGGAAAGAGTTGGGTAATTCCTTTTAGGGGTTAAAATAAGATATATGTTGTATTCACATCACAAGGGGGAGAAAACCTGAATCACAGTATTTTACACCAACTGAGACTTACGAATATGGGAGAGTTTAAAAGAAATCTGTGTTCTTCTTTTATGAAAATACCTACTAAGTAAATCTTTCATTGGCTGGTGGTAAATGCTTCATGAATGATGTCCTTTTTTGGAACATTATATTCACGATGCCTCTTTTCGGGGGAGGGGAAGGGGTGTGTGTGTGTGTGTGTGTGTGTGTGTGTGTGTGTGTGTGTGTGTGTGTATGAGACAGAGAGACAGAGACAGAGAATAAATATGAGACAGAGACACCAAAGAGAAATCTGTCAGCATCATACTGTATGTTTCAGAGAAGTAACTCCAGGCATTTTCTTTATGAATCATGAGCTTGGCGAGAATAAAGATCTTCACAGAAGCAGCTGAATTCCTAGTCAGCTCCATCACTCATGAATTAGCTGTCAATATTTTAACACAAATTGCTGTGTCGTTTTTATGAAGTTCCCCTGTTGCTGCTCAGTCTGTAGCTAAAAGCTGTTTTCACCAGGCCCTGAAATTATAGTGGATGAACTGCCTCCTTCCTTCGAGAAAGATATTTGTGTGCACTCACACACAGAAATGCAAAAATCTACCATCCAATTTCAAAGAAAATAAACTTGTCAACTTTCTCTGTTTAGCAGTTGATATAGAGTTGACAGTACTTGGTCCTGAGCTGGCCAGAATGTAGTTCCAGATTGGCAGGGGGAGAAGAATGTTCTCCTCCCCAGTCTTCATCCTGCCTGTTCTCTTCTGAAGGGGTTGGTTCGGGAAAGTGGAGGCGGTACATTAGAGGAGAATTTTGTGATACTATTCATTCTCTGTTCTGACAGAGAAGACATTGTTTATTCACTGGAATAGGCTTGGCAGGAATCTGTGCTGTGCATACAGAATGGAAACATCGCAGAGCAGTGGGGAATCTCAAAATCCTAAGCAGTGGATCAGCTTAGAGCTTTTTGAAAAAATATATTCTAATAGCCTCTGTGACTGTAGATGCAAGTCATAATTTGGGGAGATCGTTTTCCTTGAAGTAATTGTTTGCTTCACTATTGCATTATGCATGTCTCACATGGAAAAAGTCCTTAAGAGAGCAGCCTGCCTATCGCAATACTGTAGGAGCAAAAATTAAAATCATGAAAGGTGAGAAATACGTTCTAAACGCACTAGACCTGCTTTGAGATTGCTCCCTACATATAAGCATTCAGGTGTCGGTATCAACGAAAAATAATCCGTGCATGTCATCAGATGATTCACAGAAACAAGTGGGAGCTGCCTGAGATAAGAGAAAAAAAGACACATTAAAAGATGTGCCTTGGGGTAAGAAGTGCCCCGCCAGAGACAGTGTGAGAGGGCGCCATGCTCAGAATGTTCCAGAACTTTAAAGGCAACAACTGTAAAAGCCAAGGTTCAAAGCAGTGTGCAAACCCTGCAGTGGCCTGGGGTTTGTGCTTCTTAAAAGCTCTGCGTTTATCCCACTCCGCCACTTCCCTGAGCACAGCACCAGGTGTCTGGGACTCGGGGTGTGTGTGTGTGTGTGTGTGTGCATTTGTGTTTCTCACCAGAGCAGATAAAGGTGTTGCCAGGCTGCAGGCTGCCATGTTCACAGACACAGCACGTGAGCTGATGCAGGGGAGCCCTGAGAGCAAGTGTGCCCAGCCACCCCAAGCCAAGTTCACCAGCCCCTGTCCTTATGCTCAGAGAGAGACGTGTCATATTCCCCAATCTTGGCTGGTATTTGTAAGATCTCCCTGCATCTCTTTTTACAAGAACTATATGATATAAATTCTGACATTTCTAAAATTACAGTTATGATGACATCAGTATACAGTCAGCTATTAGATGATAGCAAACCAGTCTCAGCTTTTTATGTGACTTATATAAGGATTAGTCTTACACACCTAATGAAGAGCTTTTATTCTACAACTTAGGACATTATTCATGTACATTACCTGCTTTGCTTTTTCTTTTCAAGAAATGTACATTTCCTTAAGACATATTTGACAATCTTTATAAATATATATTTATTAACCTTTTAAAATATATAAAATATATTTATATGATGCTATTTTCAAGTAAATACCAATGACATCAAGAAAAATTAATCAAGATTTACCAAACTATTTCCCTCTATTGTCTTTTGAGCACATTTATTTTGTCTGTTTTAAAGCTAGTTTTATTTTATTATTTTTAACAGCTGAGGTAAGGACTATGAAGGGAGGTGAGGCAGAGGCAGGACCAGCCCCTACTGCTCCTGCCAGGGGCTCCTGGGAGGCGCTGCCCGTGAAGCAGGACAGGAGAGCCCTGAGAGATGCAGTTTGCAGGGCAATTGCTGGCCCACCTGTGATTCTGGCAGCCCTGCCTCTTGTTCTGCCTGCATGTTCCCGTTCTGCTGGAATCTCTGGTAACTGTGCACGAGGCCTGATCGTTAGTGTATGCAAGTAACAGCCAGGCTCTCCATCACAGGCTACCCCAGCCCGCCAGAGAGTCAGCATGTGCACCTCTGGAAGCAGCACTGCCAAGCCTGGCCTCATTTGTATCCTTGTAATTAGTCAGGCCTGGCTGTCTCAAAACGAGGAGTGCGACGGTCTTGTTTTCACCAATGTTGTGTGTCATCTTTGTCTATTATGAAAGGAGACATATACCAATAGAGGGAAATTGGAGTAAACACAATGACACTATCCTATTTAACCAACACATATTGCATGTACAGTGAGGCAAGCACTGGTCTCGGCACTTTGCAAATATTAAATCATTTAATCCGCCAGACTGCTCTACTACTACTATTATGATTATTCCCATGTTACTGAAAAGGAAGCTGAAGCTCAGAGAGGGTGAGTAACTTGTCCAAAGTCCCACAGGCGGTGAGGGCAGAGGACACAGCAGCAGTGCCACCTGTGCCGGAGTCTTGGCCTCAGGGTTCCGTGTGCCCGCCCCCAAGGTGGCTACTGTGCCACAGCAGATCTTGCTGAACTGTCACATCCCTTTGGGGTCTATAAACACACCTGCCAGTCTGCAGAGGTACACACGATGTGTGACATTGCTGGGTTTGGAACTGTACACCCTCTGTCTCTTGGTGTTTATGTCAGTGGAAGAAGGATTTGTAACCACTGTCCTTCCAGAATTCAAAGTGGGTACGGATTAATGCTGCATGGGAAACCCAGGCTTCCAGGCCCCGGCCCCCGGGGCTGTCAGGTGAGCTGTACTGCACAGCATCACTTGGGACAAAGGCCAAGGGTGGTTGCCATCCCTCTTCTTCTGCACTTTTTCACTAGGTCCTGTACCTTGATGGATGGTGGCTCTGAGGGCAGCAGTGTTGCTGGACTTGACAACATTGAGAGAAGCCACTATTCAGGCTGGTGTGTGGACGTTTGACCGTTCCTCTCTGTCAACTGCCATGGGGAGTTAGATAGCAGCCTTGCCTTAATCCTGACCTTCCCAAAGCGTGTTCTGAGGTGTGTTAAGGGGTGCAGCTCTCCACGGTGCACCTAGAAAAGAAAAGAAAGAAAAGTTTTTATTTATGATCAGATATATTTGACAGATGTGGTTTAAACAAAAATTGATCTACTTACTGCGGGTTTCTCAGAATTTTCTTCTGTCCCTCCAAAGCAAGATGTAGAAGGCAGAATTTCCTAAATTTCTTATTCTCTCAGGTAGGGAGAAACGTCTAGCGACATCCCTTGGGTGGAGGAGAGACAAGAAAACCCAGTGTCACAGGAGGTAATCGGGTATTAAGGAAAGACCAATATGCTACATTTGGGATTCCTAAATTCTGGCCCACCTTTAAATATGGAGGATAGAATGGGGTTATCTCTAAGTTCTTTTCATCTTTATCAGCTGGGAACTTTGTTTATATTCTCCAGAAGGGCTTTCAAGAGTTAGACACAATATACAGCACATCAAGACAGAGTAAGTTTTAAAAAGGTAGGGGTAAAATGAGGCACAAGGAATAGAAGGTAGGAAAGGTGGGGGAAGGAGGGAGATTAGTGTGCACAATGAATTCTGTAGAAGCCTTCATGGTTGATCTGAAAGAACGGAACATTGTTCTGTGTTTTCTAATGAACAGTTTTTAAAGAACTATGATCACAGATTCATGATTAACAGGGTGCTAAGCGAGGAACAAACAGATTTTCGCCGGAGAAACAACTATTCCCAGTTTTAAGATCAAAATTTTCCCATGGTTTTTTAAATCTATGGCCTTTTGGTCTTTTAGGTAGAAATTTTGTCTCTGTCACAGGCTGGTACCAAAGAGATTTGGAACCTCCATAGACATGCTTCAGAGGTAGCTGTGGGTACCTTGCCTCATTTATTTATTTATTTATTTATTTTTCGGTAGGCGGGCCTCTCACTGTTGTGGCCTCTCCCTTTGCGGAGCACAGGCTCCAGACGCGCAGGCTCAGTGGCCATGGCTCATGGGCCTAGCTGCTCTGCGGCATGCGGGATCTTCCTGGACCGGGGCACGAACCTGTGTCCCCTGCATCGGCAGGTGGACTCTCAACCACTGCGCCACCAGGGAAGCCCTCGCCTCATTTATTAAACATTACACTTTGCAGAGACCAGCTCTCCTTTGGTGTACATGGGTATGTCTGGGTTCTGACTCCCTGGACTCTGGAGTCTTTTCCAGAACCCAGAGAGCTGTGTGATGGAAGCCCAAGGTTTGAGGGATCGCACTTCTGGGATGGACACATTTGTGTGATCTTTGTATGTGGTCATCACATTCACTCTGTATTTCCAGGACCCTCATCTATCTTCCTCATCCGTCTCTAACTTTTTACCATTTGTCATAGCCTGGATTAGGGTTTCCCAGTAGCCACTTGACAAAATCACTGGGAGTCAAAGGTGTCCCAGGGGTTTCACATTGTCCAGGGTGGTAAAGGTTCAAATCCAAGTTCTATTTTTAAAGTATTCGTAAATATCACAGACAGAAACCAAACTTATGTTTGCCAAAGGTGAAAGCGGAAGGGGGGAATAAGTTAGGAGACTGGGATTAACTAATATACACTAGTATATATAAAATAGATAACCAACAAGGACCTCCTGTATGGCACAGGGAACTATAATCAGTATCTTGTCATAACCTATAATGAGAAAGAATCTGAAAAAAGAAAATATACGTATATATTTAGTACATGTATAACTAAATCACTTTGATGTACACCTGAAACTGACACAACACTGTAAATCAACTATATTTCAATAAAAGTTAAAATTTAAAAAAGAAAGTATTAGTAAAAGTGATTTACATAAATATTTTTAAAGAACATAATACTGTTTGAGGACCTCTTAAGAGTATACAAAGCCATCAGTGACAGTCAGATGAGCAAACATGCTTATGATTCATGTGAACACTGCAGGCTCCCATGGAGGTTTTAGTTTTAATTAGTCATAGATTGTTACCTTATACATATCATGGATAGCTGATTTGTGAGACAATAAGCTTAAGAAGCATTGATATGATGTTATAAGCTTCAGTCATCTGGTCAAAATTCTTATATACTTTTCATAGTGTTGGTCATGTTTCATTTCCTAAACTGGGTAGTGGTTACATGGGTGTTTATTGAATTATACTTTCTGTAAATCTTAAGTATCTTAATATATTTGGTAGGTTTTATATTAGCCTATTAGGATATCTGTCTGGTATAAAATTCAATGTTAAAAAAAGAAAAGTAGTGACAATTATATACAATTTGGCTTTTTATTTATCAGAAATAAACGTCATTCATACCCTTAATATATGTGTCCTCACACTCCTCCTGATAAGCTACCAAAACAGTCAAATCAAATCAAATATATATTAATTGCAGAGAAATGCTTACAAACTGCAACCTAAAACTTTTTGCCTTATTGTTTTATAAGTAAACACAAAATTATCATAGCTTGATTATTTTTGTTCAAAATGTATGATACCCAGACATATATTAATGGAAACAATTATTTTCTATTTTGATATCAGAATATATTCAATATAGTTTAAAACTTATATATTTGGTTCCCAAATCAATCATACACCCGTGTGCCTTTTCAAAAATTTGTCTGCAAGTCATGTATTTTATGAGGTAATGAAGGTAAAGTTAATTAAATAGCACATCACTTATTAAATAGGAAAAAGTCAAAATAGGATTATTAAAATTTATATTTAAATGACTATGATATTATAATCTTTAATAATAACTTACCTAAAATCAAGTAATTTGGGACTTTCCTGGCAGTCCACTGGTTAAGTCTTCCAATGCAGGGGTGCGGGTTCAATCCCTGGTGGGAGAGCTAAGATCCCACATGCCTCGCTGCCAAAAAACCAAAACATAAAACAGAAGCAATATTGTAACAAATTCAAGAAAGACTTTACAAAACGTGTAAAGTTTTGTAAAAACTTTTTTGTAAAAAACTTCAAAAAAAATCTTTTAATTTTACTTAAGTCACTTCCTTCTTATATACCATAAAAATGTTTAAATAACTAAAATATCTCCCATAGAGGTTTGCAAAAGTGTCACTATGCAAGTCAAAACAGGTGAAAAAGCCTTTAATGAAGCCAGGAAAAGAGGTTGCAATAATTATTTGTAGTCAGTTTAAAGAGATTCTAGCCATTCTCCAGTAAACGACTGGTAATATGAGATCTAGTGATTTGCAGAAGGAAGATGAAAATCCAGTGGTATCGTCAGTTGATTAGAAGAAAATGTGAATCCACTCTTGGCCGCCTGCCTTGCTCCATCCACATCAAATGAGCATCTCCTGTAGTTTCCTGTCGCACCTCTCAGTGAAAAGAAGCAATTATGGGCTTCCCTGGTGGCGCAGTGGTTGAGAGTCCGCCTGCCGATGCAGGGGACACGGGTTCGTGCCCCGGTCCGGGAGGATCTCACATACCGTGGAGCGGCTGGGCCCATGAGCCGTGGCCGCTGAGCATGCACGTCCGGAGACAGGAGAGGCCACAACAGTGAGAGGCTCGCGTACCGCAAAAAAAAAAAAAAAAGCAATTACCTCTTCAAATGAGTACTAACCTCAAATGTGCTATACAAATCCCTATACTATTTATGTTCTCTTTACTTATTGCAAGATATATATAGATACATGTACTATTTTGAAATATTAATCATAAATCAATGGCATTTTCCCTATTTATTATTCTTTTTATAACAAAGGATGCTTTCTTCCCAAGAGTCCTGTTTTTCTTAATCAGGTAAAATTTCTTAGAGTTTAATTTCCTTGTGTTCTTGGACATTGAGGCATTATTTGTACCATCTTGTTTGGTGAGCTTATTAGTTTTCATGTTATGACTTCACTATTAACTTATTTTTATTACAGTAAATACATTTTGCATCTATTATATCCAAATGAAGTTAACGAATTTCAAAATGATTTAAACCATCATTATTCTCCAACAATATTCATGTTGCTTGGCTGTTCTAATTGTTTATTTAAAACTCGACTTCTCATGAGAGTAACTACTCTTTAATAAAACTTCAATAAAATTCTGAAGAAGAATTTCAGTGGATAAGATCTAAGGAAAAATAAATATACATAAATGAAATATCTTTGCCATTTAATCGATGTACGCTACAACATTTCTCTGAATTGTAACTAGCTTTCATTTTCAAACTTTGGAAGAATGAGTCATTTGTAGGAGGAAGTTGATGCTAAAGAACTATGTTTGGCAACTTGAAGAACATTTTTAGCACTCGGATTTCCCTATTTATAGTACAGCATCAGGCAGAGTAAAATGTTTGGCATTTCTATAAGGGATGCAAAGTCTTTAACATTCTCTGTTGTGATCTAACAATTCATTTCAGAGTAAGATGAATGAGTCTTGTTTGGAAAATGTTTTCTACAAATATTGGCAAGGAAACTGTGACTGCATTTCTGTGGATTTTAAAAATGCAGACTCCCCTAAATTAAATGATGATAAATTGCACAATATTACTTCTTTCTTCTGCATTGCTATAGTTCTATGTGAAGTGCCTTTTATTACTCTGAACTGTCACGCTCCTCTACCCCATTCCTTGCTTTTTAGATTCTGTTAATCCATGTTGAAGTCACAGACCATGATTCTAGGTCCCTCCAAATGTCAAATTCTTTTTAACCTAAGCTTCCTCTCATCTACAGTGTTTTTCTCATAATTAAAACTCCAGATTACTTCATTAACATATACCCTTTTGTTTTACATTAGAGCACCTGAGAACAGTAATTTGTAGGATTTTGCCCTTAACTGGCTACATAGAAGAAGAGAGATAGTCATACTCCCCCACCCGCACACATGCACACACCCACACACAGTTGAACTAATGAAAAAAACAGAGCAAACTAAATGTAATGTGGGATCCTGGATGGGGTCCTGAAACAGACAAAAAAAGGACATTAGATAAAAACTAAAGAACTCTGAATTAAATATGGACTTTAGTTAATAATAATGTACCAACATTGGTTCATTAATTATAACAAATGTACCATGTTAATGTAAAAAGTTAATAATAGACTAGAAAAAAATACAGTAACTGTATTCATACCTAATGTAGTAAAGGGCTAGAGTTGACTCCAGCCTGTTTTGTCATAAGAGGAAATGGAGTAGGAAGTGATAACTAGTTCTCCCATTGCCAAGGTCTTCTGACACAGCCACCTGCAGCAGAGATGGGCAGAATCCGAGGCCAATCCCATCCAGCCACAGTGACTGTGGGGCTTGAGCGCACTGTGCTGCTGTCTTCCTTGTACCCATCTCTGGAGACATGAGAGGGTGCAAGCTCAAATGTCCTGGGCTCAATTCCCAGTCATTGGGTATTGGGGGCTTTGCTTGACATGTTAACCTCTCTGGACCTCATTTTCCATTTCTATGAAATCAGAGGGGGTCACACCAGATTTTTCTCTCCCCAAAACTGTGGCTTAGAAAAATTCTGACTCTCTGAATATGTGCTAGAGGTCTCTTTGTGAATGGAATTCATTGACGACGAAATTTTGGTACTAAAGCAATTTGTATGCATTACATAGTTTATAGCATAGGATTACTATTTATCATTTTCTAGCATTTTTGTACTCTACATCCCCCCCAAAAAAATAGTCCTTAAAAATAATACTGTTGCCATGTGAGACCCACTTATACATTCAGAAGATAAGACCACAGTTTTTTGAAATGCCCACATTGAATCTGAACTCAAAATCATATTAAATATTAAATTATACCTTAATTTGTGATACATTTTTATTTTCATATAAGGTACATTTTCAAACAAAAATTTTAGTTTAATGTGCTTCAGTGCAATTTACTTTGAATTTATTATCTAATATAATTTATAGTGTTATGTGGTGCTTTAATTTAGGGCAATAAAATTTTGAATACCTAATTATGCTTAAGGCCTTGAAGACATTTAAGACCCTGCCAAGTGTTCATATTATGCTTGTTGAGTTAATCATCAGGAAGATACTCATCTGATAATTATTTCTTAATTCCTTTTGAGCCAGTCATTGTCCATTATAAGAAATTATTATTTTCTAGCTATAGGTTTTCAGTGTCGTGTTTTGATTAGAGGCATATAAAAAGGAAAGCTTACTTAGGTCTGCCTTAAAAGTTAAATCCAATAATAATCACTTGACCAGTGGAAGCACTCTGGGGAGGGTTTGAATAGTGGTTCTTAACTTTGACTAATTCAGTAAAGTCAATCCAGGGGCTTTTAAAAGTCCCTATGTGCAGAATGTACCCCAAACTAATTAAACTATTCTCTAGAGGTATTTTTTTTTAATTTCCCAGGTATTTCCACTATGCAGCCAAAGCTAAGAACCACTAGCCTTAAGGGAGTGGGAAATGCCTCCCGTGAATGGTCTTTCTATAGCAGAATTCTCCCACTCTTTGAAATTGGGTGACTTGAGTAGCGATGGATCATTTAAAGAGTGTATACTTTCAAAGAGAAAGAAGCTTGCCAATATTAAGGGGAAAAAAAATCATGTCCCTTGCCCTAGATCTCCACCTCACAAATACCAGGAGAGTTTGTCCTGATTTTGAAAGGCTTTAGGAAAAAATCCCCTGCATGCCTCAGTGCTACAGTGTTTGCTTTAGCTTTTGTTTTATTTGGCATTTCAGGTCATATACAGGATCTGTGAGAGCTAACATTTATTGAGCACCTCTGCTAAGTATCAAGCCCTGTAAATATGGCTCTGTCTCACAGCCAAGAAAGACAGAAATTATTCCCTTCAAAATAAAAATAAAGAGTCAGAGTTCTGTTTTGTTCGAAAAATCTTATCTCAGTGTAATTGCATATTTAATCATTTATTCATTCATTGATTGAACATTTATCAAATATATGTGCTCTTCCAAAAATAAGTTTAAAAATGCCTGAAGAGTACAAAGGGATCTGTATCTGTTATCTTTTGCTTCATAACAAATTTAGTGACTTAATATGACCACTTATTTAGCTTTTGATTCTGCAATTGGCAATTTAGGCTGGACTCAGCTGAGCAAGTCCTCTGGTCTCAACTAGCCACCCACATACAGCAGTGTTCACTGTGGTTTGGCTTTGCTGATCTTGGCTGGGTCCGCACATATCTGGGGGCTTCAGCTGGGACAACCTAGCTGATGGAACACTCGTCCAAATGGTTTCTCACGCTTCAGCAGGGCTAGCCTAGTCTTGTTCACATCGTGGAGTTATGGTTACCTATAGAATGAGTGAAAGTATGCAAGGTCCCTTCGGCCTAATCTCAGAACTGGCACCCCATCATCTCTGCCACATTTCTTGGCCAAAGCAAGTCACAAGTCCAGTCTAGATTCAAGGGGTAGGGAAATAGCTTTCATCTCTTAATGGATGGTACTGAAATGTCACATTACAAAGGATGAGGATAAAGGAAGGAGTAACTATGATTACTTTCGCAGTCAACCACAGATGGGAAACTCTAATTCTGTCTTGGGAAACTAGAAAGGTTTCTGAGAGGTAGTTACATTTGAGCAGGTTTCAAAGGTGAAAAATAAATTTAAAATGTATTTCAGGTGAAAGCAATAGTATGAACAAAACTATCGCATTGCAAGTTCCTTAGAGAAAAACAAAATGGAGATTGTAAGTTTCCTAAATGTAGGAAATATGTCTAGCCCAGCCCAGAACAGGTCGGAGGCACTTACCATTTGCATTAAAAAGAGTCAGCACAGTGGAGCAACTAAGAGTGTGGGCCCATAAGACAGAGGTCATACCTGATAGCTTTACCTCTTACTAGTTTAGTGACCTTGGACAAGTTACTAACCTTTCTGTACCTCTCTTTAGTACAATGATGAGAATATGCCTTTTGTATCAGTTAGCTTTGGCTGCATAACAAAGCACCCCACAGTTTAACAGCTTAAAACAACAGCCATTTACTTAGCTCCTGATTCTGTGGGTTTGTACTTTGGGCTGGCTCAATTCTTCTGGTTTCAGTTGGGCTCATGTATATGTCTACAGTCAGCTTGCAGTCAGTTAAGTATCTCTGCTTCTGGCAATTGGCTGACTATTGGGGGACAATGAGGACACCTGGATCACATGTCTCTTATCCAGCAGGCTAGTCTGGACTTATTCACAGGACCAGCAGGGTCCCAAAAGTGAGAGCAGAAACATGCAAAGCTATGGTCTTGGTTCAGGTCTGACACTGTTGCTTGCACTGCATTCCATGGGACAAAGTGAGTCCAAAACCAGCCAAGATTTAAGGGTATAGAAATAGACAACATTTCTTGCTGGAAGGACCTACAAAGTCACAGTGCAAGGAGTGAGGATACAGGGAGGGGAAGCCTTGTGACCATTGATACAATCTCCTTCACCTACCTGTAGCTCACAACAATCCTATGAAGAATAAGTGAAATGTAACTTGATCTTTCTAGGTGAGGCTCCAAGTTAAAAAGTATCTGGCAAAGAGTGGATGTTCAATAAGTGAAACCTATTAACTTTTTCTTACATATATTAAAACTCAGATTTTCAGCCAAATTCTTTAGTTGCCTACTTTTAAAGAGTATCAGATGAACCTCCAAATGGTGTTCAAGAAGTTTAAATGTTAGGCATTTTTTCTCTGCTACAGAAAGATAATATAAGTAGAGGAAAGCGATTGCCTATGATGGTATGTGTATCTAGGCACAGAATTTAGGTGTCGTCACCTGATGAAGCTGAGAAAGCCTGGCAGCGGCAGCCAGACATCCTCACAGCCATTCATGAGAAAGACATACTTAATCTATGTGAAGGGTCAACTCAAGAAAAGAACCAGAGACAGTAAAGTGTAATATTTCAACTCCAAAAACACTAAAGGCATTTTTAATAGGTCAGAACCCATTTTTAAACCTATGCAAAGAAAGAAGAACCTTAATAAATCTTTATTGATTTCTTTCACTGTTGCCTTGTAACTATTTTCACAAAACCAGCCAAGCCCCATATAATTCCAGACGGATCCATAATTTGCTCTTGGATCCCACACATTGGATCCAACGGAGATTTATTTATCTGGCAGCTAGAATATCTCTAATCATTGATGTGAACTGAGTCAAAAAAAATCTATCTTGGGGACTTCCCTGGTGGTCCAGTGGGTAAGGCTCCGCACTCCTGATGCAGGGGGCCCGGGTTCGATCCCTGGTCAGAGAACTAGATCTCACATGCATGCCGCAACTAAAACCCAGTGCAGCCAAAATTTAAAAAAAAAAAAAAAAAAATCTATCTTCTTTGAAATAAATAGGGCATCAAAAGTTATTCAGGAATGCGCAGTATAGAAATATGGCAAATGTTCATTGAGGATGGTGTCTGCTTTTTATAACTGTGGGACTTGAAGTTCCTTAAAGATATGTCATGCGGGTTTCCCTGGTGGCGCAGTGGTTGAGAGTCCGCCTGCCAATGCAGGGGACACGGGTTCATGCCCCGGTCATCCCACATGCCACAGAACAGCTGGGGCCCGTATGGGCCTGTGCGTCCGGAGCCTGTGCTCTGCAACGGGAGAGGCCACAACAGTGAGAGGCCCGCGTACCAAAAAAAAAAAGATATGTCATGTGATCACTGGGCCCTATGTTCTGACTCCAGCCTGTATCACCCAGCGCCCCAACTCCAGGAGCCCCAAGGCCCTCAAAAGGCCATCCACCTGCTTACACTTAGCTTTCAAGCACTGAGTTTCAATTATACTGCAGTTCCTTTTATGATTTTAGAAAGTCCTGATGGTGGAGTGATTGAGACCTGTGACTCCCACCCTCATTTCTCTCACTTTCTCTCTGAGTAATGGGGAGTCAGGGGCGGCAGTGGGCATGGGTACCTACTGAAACTCTCTAAGCCTCAGTTCCTATTCCATTAATCCTGATCATACAAAGACACTTACGCTTACAAGGCAGTTCTGTCACATTCGTAGTCCCAAATACTGAATCCCAGATATTTAGGTTAAATAGATTATCAGAAAGAAAAAGCAATATAAGTTCAAATGTTCAAAGCAGCCCAATCCAGACAGGTTTGCTGATGGCCTTGCTTGTGCTTTTAAATCCCAGCGGTCCCGTGTGTACTCACCACCCTGTCTCCCACTAAAACACAAGAGTACGGTCACTCTTTCCATAAAGAGTAAACAGTTCATTTTGAACACACAGTGTTTCTTTTTAAAGTCCTGTTTTATGGGCCACATAATAAAGTACCTAACCTGGTACCTAGCGTATGGCCATAAGTATTCGTGGACTTGATGTGTCTGTCTCTGCGTGCCTGAGAATGATTTCTGCTTTATGAAATTCACATTGGCAAGGAAAGTGATTTTTGTTGATGCTGCTAGACCATCTGGGGCTTGCCATTCTAAATTTGATGGCTTTATTTATACATAATATCTTTAAGGGGAATCCATATTTTTGACATCTGTTTGCCAAACTAGTAGTTGTATAAAGGTTTCTGAATCCAAGATGAGACAAATTTACCCTTGCAAACCTTGCAAATATCTTAAATTACTGCAATTATTTTTTTATAAATAAAAATTAAATGCAAATATGTTGAACTCGATCTCAAAGATCCCTGGACAGTCTAAGGTTTTTAATATTGTTACTGTAAAGGATTTACAGTATATTAAACATTTTAGATTAAGCACATGTCTTGAGAGCTGTTGGAAACCCTATTCCAATGAACACCATCCAGAAATTTAGTAAGCATAATCTATTTCATCCTTCCGATTTTAGAAGATGATTAGTAAAACCTAAATATTCTATTTCATACATCTATATACATCTAAATTTTAAGACTATAGAACTTGTTCCTTTCGTCTTTTAAAAGAATGGCAACCAATACCCAACTTGGAGGGTGTGGAATAATAATTTGCCCTTGTTCCCACCCTGCTCTGTCATTCCCCAACCATCAAGTTGAGGGTCAGTCACCATTTCTCATTATTTTTGTGCTGTGGTTTTCTTAAGGTAAAGAAAAAACAAAAGATAGAATGGGCAGATCATATCTTCAAAGAAAAATGAGAAACATCACATTTCTTTGAGAAGGAGAAAAAATTTCCCCATGGTTAACCTGGCCTGCCTCAGTGTTTGCATTACCTCCCAGGCCCTGTGCAAATGGGCCGTCTTTTAAATCTGACCTCATACTTCACAACTAACTATGGAAACAAAAACAAACAAAAACCAATACAAACCAGAGTCACCAGATTCAGCAAGATTACTCAAGCATGACTGGAGGAGAGATTGCCATGTACTACCAGATGACAGACTGCAGTGTTTACTAACTATGAGTTCAGGGGTGATTTCATAATAGGGTTTCCATACGGTCTAGAAGGTATGGCAGACATTAGTCAAACCTATGGCACAAATACGTGGACATAGGAAAAAGAGGTGTTCTGAAAGAGAAACACATATAGCAATGAGCAATAGCCTTGTGCATGAGAAGGCCTCCCTGGCATCTGATGGGGCGTAGAACTTAACTAAGGGAGGGGCTGGGGCAGTTGAAGGGGTTCCAGGTAAGGAGCAAGTGAGTGGGATGGAGACAGAGAGTAGAATGAGAAGAGGGAGGGAAGGAGGCCAAAGCCTGGATTTGCAGGAAGTGGCAGCCTACTCTATATGATTTTATTTTCTTTATCCTTTGATCAGTGGGAAACCATTAAAGGATTTTAAGCAGAGGACTTGGTATGATCAGATTTTCTTTTTGGAAAGATTCCCTCTGGCTGGGGTTTGAAGAAGAAATTGGAAGGCGGCAGGGTGAAGGCAGTAGACAAGACAAAAGATGCTGGTAACTTGACTAGGGGGTTGACCTTGGTGATGCAGAGACAAGGACTCATTGAAGAGATGGATTTGAAAGTCATCTCAGAGATGAGACCAAGAGGGCTTGGTGTGTTGGATTGGATATGCGGAGAAACGGAGGGGGTGGTCAAGGGGAGGACCCTGGGATGCGAGCTTGCGCGGAGAGCTGAAGGTAGCACCGTTCACGGAGACAGGGCGTCCTGGAGGACGACCGGTGTGCAGGGAAGATGGAGAGTCCAGTCCAGCGTGCACACATGCTGAGACCGAGGGCCTGGAGACAGCCGGGTGCTGGGGCAGGGGGGAGGTCCCATGGCAACTGGATATGGAATCTAGGGCTCAGAATAGAGGCTTTGTCTGGAGATACAAATAAGGAATCAAGGCAGCACGAAGGGAATTGGACTTATGGGTGTGGATAAGATGCCAGGAAGAAAATATGAGGCAAAATATGGAAAAAAGCCTAAGACTGAACCTCAAAGAACAAGGATCATGTATTTCACAACCAGGGAGAGGAGGGAAGCTCTGGGAGTGTCTTCTCAAATGTGTAGTTACCACCAGACTTTGTCATTCTCGTTTCCTGCCGTTCGATACACTGGCATTTTAATGGACACATTGATGACAGTCATTATGGGTAGTTACACAAGCTGCACGTACAAAATTTGTAATGATTTTTTTTAACACAGTCACATACAGAAACCTATGCACAAACCTCACAATCTTGTGAATGTTGAGTTAACTGACAGGGGTCGACAAAACCCTTGACTGTTATTTGATTCATTAAGTGATAGAAGTAAAAGAAAAATAAATGAAAGCCTGGTGGTGACATCTGGAGACTCAATCAGCTCAGGTCCACATTTTTGGCAAGAAGGCTTCATAGTTCGTGCTTCATCTTACATCACACACCCAGTGTCCGGTGGTGCCTCTTTACACTGAGTTGATTCATCGTTGTGTTCACGTGTGATCATCCTGACTCACCCACTACAGTTTTCCATCAGCCCCAACCCTATAGTTGAACAGCCTTGTATCAGTGCTGGGAAATAATCATTAGTTCTGAGTTGGCTTTGCATCTGTTTATGACCTACTGTATGGTATTATGTAGGCTCCTGTAAATTTCTGTGAAAGTCTATTTGAAATTGAATTATATTTTAAAGAATTTCGAATTGATCATTATTTAAAATAGTATTTTTGGAAAATCTTCATATTATTTCATAATGCCGCTCTTTTATGAATACAAATTTATATATATTAGATTTGGTTAAAGCAAGATCCACCATCTCTTAGAACTTTATCCTGTCATTGGACCGCCTGCATTTGAAGCAGCTGATTCAGATGTTGATAACGATTACAATTTATTGTTTGAATTTAACATAACTCTAATTAGCTAACAGAGAGAAATAGACACTAGAAGTACATTTGAATACTTTAGGTACACTGACTTTTTAAAAGATGCAGATTCTTCTTTATATTTTTGAATAAAGTAAGTTGTTAAAATAGCAAGGAAAGGGCTTCCCTGGTGGTGCAGTGGTTGGGAGTCCGCCTGCCGATGCAGGGGAAACAGGTTCGTGCCCCCGTCCGGGAAGATCCCACATGCCGCGGAGCGGCTGGGCCCGTGAGCCATGGCCGCTGAGCCTGCGCCTCCGGAGCCTGTGCTCCGCTATGGGAGAGGCCACAACAGTGAGAGGCCCGCGTACAGCACACACACACAAAAAAAAAATAGCAAGGAAAGCAGCAGAAGGAACTAATATTTATTTATTGGGTGACATTTCTGAGCAAGGGCACCAAACTGTGCATGTTTCACAAGATACAAATGTAGCTGATCTTGTTAATGATATCAAATATACTTTTCTATACTGAATGGAAAACTGAAATGCTGAAGATGCTGAACAGAGCTGACATACAAACACAGGCGCATGTTTGGAAGGCTGGCAGAGTGCAGTATTAATATGGCTTAAAGTGCCAGCCTAGACCAAACAGAAGCGCCTCGAAATAGAGGTAGGGTCCAACTGACGATTCCACGTGTCAGGAGGATTTGTCCTGAAGACATTACAGCTGATTTCCTAGCCAGTCCTTTTAGTATCACGTGGTAATAATGGAAGGGTAAGATTACTACCGACAAAATATCCCAGGCTGTAAGAAACCCACTAACATCAAGTGGATGCATTTTGCAGTGTAACTCCCAGCCCAAGCCAGACATGTATGGAAATGAACAATAGCAAGAGACCCAAAAACGTTTCCATGGTAGACTGAGAACCCTACGCTAAATAAACATGGTGTTACCCCCAATAAGGTGATCTCAAGAAACCTCCACAGACCATTAGAAGTGCAGTTTCAGACATTAATGTCTAGCTGCTTTCTGCCCGGAATTGAAAGGAACAGCAAAGACTTCAAAAAAGAGAAGCTCTCTCTGGCAGAAACTGAGAGCCAGCGAAGGCACAGGGTACAAATCACCTTCTGTGTGAAAGTGGCTGGCACTGTGGGTCCAATTAAAATCCCAATGCATGCATATTGTGTGGGGGACTATAAGTTAAAATTGCAACTGTACATTCATTTATTATCTGTTCGGTAGTTTCAACCTTAAGGAGTACAGGACTATTTTTGGAACTACTCTTGATAAAACCGCAAAGGCATGTGTTCATTCACTCCATCGATACTTAGCGCACACCACCGTTGTAGGTGCTGGAGTTAACAGCTGCCCGGACAAAGGGCCTGTGCTCATGGAGGTTATGTTCTAGAGAGCCTCCTCCGACTATGAACCCAAAGGCCAATCCATAAGATGCTTTCAGATGGGATAACAGGAAAGGAAGAGGGGGCAATGGGATAAGGCTGAGTTGGGGGTGCACGAGAGGGCTACAGAAAGGTTGGTCAGAGGAGGCTTCTCTGAGAACATGCTGTTTGAACAGGATGAAAAAAAGGAAGGGGAACCAGCTGTGTGATGACCTGAAAAATGATCGTTCCTGTAGGTAAACAGCTAGTACAAAAGGGTGAGGACAGGGCTTCCCTGGTGGCGCAGTGGTTGAGAGTCCGCCTGCCGATGCAGGGGACACGGGTTCATGCCCCGGTCTGGGAGGATCCCACATGACGCGGAGCGGTTGGGTCCGTGAGCCATGGCCACTGAGCCTGCGCGTCCGGAGCCTGTGCTCCGCAACGGGAGAGGCCACAACGGTGAGAGGCCCGCATACCGCAAAAACAAAACAAACAAACAAACAAAAAAACAAAACAAAACAAAAAAAGGGTGAGGACAAACTCAATATGTCCAAGAGCTACAAAGAAATAGCCTGTGGGTTTGGAAGGTCATGGCCAAGGACACTAAGGAAGCAGCTGAGGCTGAAGGGGTTGAGCCTGCCTCGCCCATGGTAGTCCTTCAGTTAATTGTCAAACTGACCTGAACAGTGTATCGTGTCCATTGAAGCAATGAAGTTCAAGAGAAAAGTTCCAGTAGCCTAAAGCATAAAGAAAGGTATTGTCATAATGATGTATTGATTTCTAGTACATTCTTTACCTCTAAGAATTATGGATCATTTTGTAAGTGGAGACATAATGAGTGTTTACATCAGCTTTGACATGCAACCTAAAAACAGTATGTGAGAACTAGTGACATTAGACGAGGAGATTTTTTGTATTTCTTGTTGAAATGTTTACTTTGAAAATACTTTAATCATACTAAGTGAAGTAAGTTAGACATAGAAAGACAAATATATGATATAACTTACATGTGGAATCTTAAACAAATGATACAAATGGATTTATTTACAAAACAGAAACAGACTCACAGACTTTGAAAACAAACTTATGGTTACCAAAGTGGAAACCTGGAGGGGAGGGATAAATTAGGAGTTTGGGATTAACAAATACACACTACTATATATAAAATAGGTAACCAACAAGGATCTACTGTATAGTACAGGGAACTCTACTCAATATTCTGTAATAACCTATATGGGAAAAGAATCTGAAAAAGAATGGATATATATGTGTATGTATAACTGAATCACTTTGCTGTACACCCAAAACTAATACAACATTGTAAATCAACTATACTCTAATATAAAATAAAAAAAGAAAGAAAAGAAAATACTTTAAAATAATGCTATTTTAACTTATCTAGTGAATTATATTTAGCCATACAACTTTTAGATTAGTATTTGGAGGGGTGCAGAGATAAATATGTAGACCTAATCTAGCAGACAGTCAAAGAACATGGCTCAATGTCCATAGCTTCTGAGTGTGTGTCTTTATGTTGCAAGGTTAGATACTACCTTCTGGACTAGACTATACATGCTCTGTTTGGGTCTGCACTCTGAGGTTATACCTGTGCTGCAAAAAACTTGGTTTGCATGGTGCCCAGTGTGGACTTGTATTGGAAGAAGAACAGTGAGCTGTATCTGTCTTATATTGTCATATCCTGACTATGCTATGTTCCAATAATGTAAGAAATAAAATGAAGTAGCATTTGTCAGTTAAAAGCTTAGAAATATGAATGAATAGTCTAGCTAAATGATTCTCAGCCCAAACTATACATTCAAATGCTCTGGGGACACATTTACAACTGTAAATGTCCAGACCTAATCCCTGCCAATTTCTGGGGTTAGGCCTGTGCATTGGTATATTGTAAAAAGTTTACCAAGTGATTCTATCCTGTATAGCCAGGATTGAAAATTCTAATATAATTCAGAGGAATTTAATAATTCTCTGTAGCCTTTAGGATAAAGTTGGTTTGATTTTAATCACCTTAGTCTTTGCATCTCATATATCATCTGAATACTTCTTTCATTATTTCCTTAGAGTAGAGATCAGAACTTATGATCCCAAAGATTAGTTTAGTGGGAAGGTCTTCCTTTCCTTCCTTCTTTCTTCCTTCTTTCATCCTTTGCTTTTTAAAAGTGTATCTGGACATTGAGAGCTTTTAAAATCTATAAAGGAAGAGTATATGGCAGTTAAATTTAAAGCTTCATATATACAATATTTAGAAATTAAGATCTGTTTTTAAGAAATACTGAGATTGTTATAATAAAGACACTTACATAAGACTCTTCAAAATGTGTGAAATCAAAAACTTGTAATTGGGGTTGGTGTAGAGAGAGGGAAGAAACAGCTAGACTAAGGTAATTGCTATAATTGAAGGATAATTACAGCGTTCAGCTTCCAGCCAGAGAAAAGGAAGTATGATTTTTGTATGTATAGTTTAGTCACTATAAAAAAAAAATCAAACTAACTTATCAGGATAAATAAAACCACCTTCCAAGCACTAAAATCTCTGAGTTTATCACAAAAAGCTTTATGCACTACACAATAGAACAAGGTCCTTAATAGTTCTACCAAAAAATACAGAAAAATAAATCATGACAGTTCCTTATGTTAATATTTTATAATAGCTACTTTTTATGACATTAATTAGTCAGTGGGTTCAGCTGCTATCCAGTCTGCCCCCCCAGCTCATGACAATAGAATAGTGTCGGCTACAATATGGAGGCTATTTGTACTCCAGTTAACATTGGCAAGAGGGTATCCTTCAGTTCATCGAAAAGCCATATCCAATAATAAATTAGGGGAAATGGCATCAGATTACAACTCGGTTAATGACGTGAAAGATTGGAATTTGATTTTTCAGCCTCTCCCTACCCTGTCTGATCGTACAATGGTAGTACTATGACACAGTCTGGGAGAACGTTATCAATACTAGTTTGGGGACTATGCTGAAATCCTACCCCTTGGTGACTTAGATGGATCCTGGCTACAGAATCAGAGACTTGTGGTAGATTAGTGAATGTTGCAGGACATCTAAGATTGTTCTTAATCATGTTCTTAGTAAGATGAAACACAGTGGCTGCTGGTGGACCAGTTGTCCCTAAAATTTGCTTGTTCCTGATATATTATAATATGACAGTGCATTAGGAAGTAAAATAAAGTAGGATTTCAAAGGGTTTGGAGAAAGGCTTAAAAAAAAGTAATGTAAAAAAGACTGACTCTTTCTCTTAAATTTAAAATATAATAATGTATTGTTTTATAATTAGTGTTGAGAAATCACATAACCATTAGAAATAATTGCTTACAAAAAAAACTGGAATGAAGCCACTTGGCTTAGATGATCTAATCCAATAAATTAAAAGAATAATACTGATTTATGTAGCAATATATAATAGCAATAACTAAATTCAGCAATAACTGAACAGCAATAACTAGGTGTCAGTGACTACTCTGATTTTGCTAAATGAGTTTTTTTGTCCTGGAAACACACCTTCCTGTTCCATTTTGTAAGTATATTTTTCTTGAAGTTTTCCTGTAATAGAGGCATGAGAAATAATTCAACAGTGACCTTCTCAGGATCAAATTCCACTGTGCTACTTTCATAGTGTGCATCTACAGAGCTGCTGTGATGGCTATGCAGTGCCTACCCCACGCCTCTAGGGGTATCACTCATATGCTCTAGTTTATGCTCTTAGCACAGCCAGAGCCTCTCAAAGCCTCAGTGGCAGAGAGGAGTGAACTCAAATTTTTGATTCCATGTGCAAAATTTCTTTGAGTTCTCATATGCCTTTTTTTAAGTTCTTACTAGATTTACATTATACTCCATAAATACCTGTGTTTCTTTTATTAACAAGTGAAAGTTAAAATTGAGTAACTTGGGGCTTCCCTGGTGGCGCAGTGGTTGAGAGTCTGCCTGCCAGTGCAGGGGACACGGGTTCGAGCCCTGGTCCGGGAAGATCCCACATGCCGCGGAGTGGCTGGGCCCGTGAGCCACAACTCCTGAGCCTGCGCGTCTGGAGCCTGTGCTCCGCAACAAGAGAGGCCGCGATAGTGAGAGGCCCGCGCACCACGATGAAGAGTGGCCCCCGCTTGCCGCAACTAGAGAAAGCCCTCGCACAGAAACGAAGACCCAACACAGCCAAAAATAAATTAATTAATTAATTAATTAATTTTTAAAAAAACTGAGTAACTTGGATAGTCAGGTAGAGGTGGCTGGCACATTTTCCTGAATTTACCACAGCATGCCTCTAAGGTGTGCCTTCCCCAATACACCACTTCACCATAGGCCATTCTCCTGTCTCAATTTCATGCCTTTGAAATGTTCCTTCCCCAAAAGGGGTGAAAACATAGGATAGAGAAGTGCTGAGTCAGGGGGTGTCAAAGCCATATCCTGATATTAGCTCTCATTTTCTTGCTCTCTACTTTCCAAAAAAAAAAAGGAAATTGGGGCAGAGTGGCTACCTTGACAGCCTGACCTGATGTTACAAAATACTTTGAACTCAGCAGGGGGGAAAGACCCTCTTTTAAATATCAGTGTTATAAATGCATATTCTAGGTCTCTCCAAAACGTTCTTAATACTGTGGCATAGAATGTAAATTCCAAATGTGACCCTTCCACTTGGAAACCACTGTGACATTCAAAATAACAAACTCTTCAAATTATAAAGACCATAAACACAGCCTTCACCCATGTCTTCATTTCATTCATGATTTACAAACAGAAAAAAATGGGAAATCTTGAGGGAGAAGATGTGATTTTTCATTAGCTATGAAGATTTTCAAAACTGCATTAGTCTCAGTTCATTAGGTCTTATAATCGCATTAGCTACGTGGCATTGTAAGGGAAGAAATGCCCTGCAGAGACCTCCCAGTGGATTTCCTAGGAGTTTCACTACCCCTGCCCCCTGGGACTCAACATAGGATTAGATTTTTCCTTTCATAGGATGAACCAATGGAAATGATACAGCTTGTAGGGACCACGTTTACACAGACGTTTCCTCTCACACTTTCCTAATTCCTGCTACAGTGATTCCCCTGGCCAAATGATGTCAGTTCTGAGTAATTCTGATCCCCCAAAGACTTTAAGATGAGTAACTTCCACCTCACTGGGATTCCTGTAGGACTTGTAACAAATTCAGAGCCTGGGGTTTTCAGCGAGCTACTTAATGTTAGGATCACTTAGGACACGTGTTAAAAATACAGATTCTTGGGCTCCACTGCAGCTGTATTATATCAGAATATCTGAGGGTCAGGCCTTGGCATCAGCAGTGTAACAAGTGCCCAGCGGGTGGTGAGCAGGACTGAGGGGGTTTGGTGGGGGGGGCATCTCTGCAATGGCTGATGCTCTCACGTGGCCTGGGAAGGAAGCCAGATGAAACCAATGGGGCTGAGATGGAGGGGCCTGGAGGCCGTGCCCTTTGATACCAGTCGAGGCTAGTTATTCGGTAGGGCCACAGTCAAAACACTCATCCACTGAAGTTGAGAAAATATTCTGCTCACAAATGAGATACTCTTCTATCCTGCCGTGTCTCTACTCAAGACCCTACAGTTTATTCCATATTGCCTTTATTTTTTTATTATTTTTTAACATCTTTATTGGAGTATAATTGCTTTACAATGTTGTGTTAGTTTCTTCTGTATAACGAAGTGAATCAGATATATGTATACATATATCCCCATAACCCCTCCCTCTTGCGTCTCCCTCCCACCCTCCCTATACTACCCCTCTAGGTGGTCACAAAGTACGGAGCTGATCTCCCTGTGCGATGCAGCTGCTTCCCACTAGCTATCTATTTTACACTTGGTAGTGTGTATATTTCCATGCCACTCTCTCACTGCGTCCCAGCTTACCCTTCCCCCTCCCCATGTCCTCAAGTCCATTCTCTACGTCTGTGTCTTTATTCCTATCCTGCCCCTAGGTTCATCAGAACCATTTTTTTTTTAGATTCCATATACATGTGTTAGCATACAGTATTTGTTTTTCTCTTTCTGACTTACTTCACTCTGTATGACAGACTCTAGGTCCATCCGCCTCAGTACAAATAACTCAATTTTGTTTCTTTTTATGGCTAAGTAATATTCCGCCTTTATTTTTTGAAACAACTTTTTTAAATTTAAATATAGTTGATTTACAGTATTGTGTTTCAAGTGTACAGCAAAGGGATTCAGTTATATATATATTTTTTCAGATTATTTTCCGCTTCTCTCTGCTATACAGTAAATCTTTGCTGCTTATCTATTTTATGTATAGTGGTGTGTATCTATTAATCCCAAACAGCTAATTTATCCCTCCCTCCAACTCCTGCTCTCCCCTTTGGTAACCGTAAGATTGTTTTCTATGTCGGTGAGTCTGTTTCTGTTCTGTATATAGATTCATTTGCATTATTTTTTAGATTCTGCATATAAGAGATATTATATAATATTTGTCTTTGTCTGACTTACTTCACTTGGTATGATATTCTCTGGGTCCATCCATGTTGCTGCAGATGGCAATATTTCATTCTTTTTTATGACTAAGTAATATTTCATTGTGTGTGTGTATATATAATATATATACATGTATAGACACCACATCTTCTTAAATACTCCGTATTGCCTTCTGTATCTAGTTCGAAGTGGTTTTGGCTGTCCATGATATTAATGGCCATTGTAATGAACACAGACCTCTTACAAAGGATGTGACAGGTTCTGATGGTTGAGTTTCATGTTTAGTCATGTCACACCTTGTAAGAACAGAATCTCCACAGGGGTTGCCATTCTGTTATACCCATCTCCCCATCTCTGTCAACAGAGTGTTGTCTTCCCTAAAGTGGGCAAAGGAGAAGAAGAAAATAAATGTGCTGAAGTACGTAGACATGTACATACACATGTCATTCTTAAACTCCCAAAGTACCCCATGGAGTAAAGCCAGCTGTAAACAAAATGGTAAAGCAGAAAAAAATTACCAGAAAAGTCCTCCGAGTCTGTTCCCCTTGCCTCCCTCCACGTACACTGTGTCTGCACGCTGGCCTCAGCCCTCTCACCTTCTCCTTCCCTCCCTTGTCCTCACTAGGTGAATTGCTCTGTTCTGTCATTTATGCCTTAATGGGATTTTAAATGCTTGTGCCACTTCTTGCATGAATGTTTTTTTAAGCTTTGCTTTCACTGTAAAGTGAAAGCAGTTTTCTTCCATTAGGGGGTGGGGGACGGGGAGGGGTACTCTCTACAGGTACCCTCCCAGGTCCTTGAAATCTGATCCATCCTCAGCAGTTGGCTGACCCTGACTGTGATGGGTGGGTGCGTGGGTCGCTGGTGGTGGTCCTGTCCACCCCGTACTCATGCAAAGGCTGCCTTTGGAATCCACCAGACACAATGAGGACAGTTCTCAGCTTGAAA